CTCCTTCGTCTTCTTTTTTCCTCTTTCCAATCAATCATCTTCGTCTTCGTCATCGCTATTCGTGTACTTTGGTTGAGTTTTCCTCCTTCTCGTGCTTCCTCTTCCACCTTTTCCACTTTTTATTTTTATTTTCATTCTAACGGATTCCGATTCGGAATTTCCATCCTCGTCGTCCACCGTCTGAAAATTTAAAAAATCAAAATAAATAAAATTCGACAAATAATAAAATCCGAACGACGGGATTCTCTCATCATCACCTTTATCCTCATCCGTTTCCGCATCCTGTTCCAATCTTTGTCTCGCGTTCGTAAACACGGATTGAAGGACGATTGAATCTTCGTGTATGAGAGAAGGTTCTTCGTTGTATATTTGAACATTTTTACACATTTGAGTAAAATCCTTTTCCAAATCGTCAAAATCCGAATACTGAAACAACAATGACAAGAGTCAGAATGAAACTTTTCCCCCCTTTTTTTCCATTTCCCTCCACCTCCTCCCCCCAGCTTACTTTTCCATCTTCTATCCTGTTAAATATTTTCTTAGAGGTCATTAGGTCAATGATTGATTACCTTTCTTTCCGCTTATAATTTTTGCTGTTTCTCAAGTTTTCCAGTTGCTCTTGCTTCTCTCAAACCTTGATGTTTGGTTCGTTTGTATGCTTTTACATTGATGGCAGTTTCTAGCGTGGTATCGCGACGCGTACAAGCTATAATCTAAAAGACAAGCTATAAATTAAAAAGAAATTTACAAAAAATTTGTTTAAATTTAATGAAAAATAATTGTTTTTTTTTCTCTTTAGTTTTAGGATCAAAAAACTGATCCAATGCAGTACGATTGACCTCATTGTCGTTTTGGAATTTTTGTCCGTTTAAAAAATTTTTTAGAAATCAGAAAAAAAGATAATTTTTTCATTATTTGGAGCTAGTTTGGGACTATATGAAGGGTGCAGCAAAACATCCCAGCCTACCTCCAGTAGTTTTTGTCCAGTGGCTAAAGATGGGGAGGGCCTGGCATTATGGTAATGAAAGACAATTCCTTTGCTATTGGCTAGCTATGGTCGTTTTTCTTGGATGGTATCATTTAAATTTGTCAATTGTCGAATGTAAACCTCTGAATTTATGATCTGATTTCGTGGCAGCAGCTCAAAGTAGACTATGCCTTTGTAATCCCACCAAAATGATAACAATAACTTTTTTGACAAAAACAGCCTTAGAAGTTCTAAGGTGCCTGTTTCCTTACCTAGACCAGGATCTTTTTCTCAAAAAGTCATCATAAACAACCCGCTTTTCATCTTCGATGACCATTCTTTCAAAAAAGGGTCATTCGCATTGCGTTTAACAAGCATATCGCAAAGACCAAGTCGCCTCGTTAACTAACGTTCCCCAAGGTTATGCGTCAGGCTTCTTTTGGTACCCAAGACGCCGCAGACGGTTTTTGACGCACGTATGTGACACATCTAGCTTCTTTACAATGTCCTTAGTCGAACTATGCCGATCATAATCAATGAGGGCCTTTATTTGCTCATCATTAACCTCCAATGGACGCCCGGAGCGCTCCTCATTTTTCAAAGGAAAATTTCCAGAACGGAATTTCGCAAACCAGTTTTGACACTGCCGTTCTATTAAGGCTTCATCCCCCTACACGGCCCACAACTTTTTATTGGCTTGTGAAGCATTAACACCCTTTCAGAAATAAAAAAGCAAAATGTGGAGGAAATGCTCGCTTTGGCTCCCCATGTTTAAATGTCTTTTGCTCGCGCACTATTTTGTACATAAACGTAAACGTACTCAAAAAACCGGACAAACTATCTGTTGGTAAAATGCGCAGTTACTTACTGGCCAACCCAATAATTTACATAAAACAAATTATTTAACGAAAATATTCATATATTGGCTACGTTAAAAGCTTCCATATTTTTATAAGTTCCACGTTAAAGTGAAATACATTTTTCTAATGACACTTTATTTACCATCGATATAATTAAGTTTAAATTGATGTCTATGGTTGTTTACATATTACTACTATTTTTACTATTTCCCATTGTGAGTAATTTTTCCCGTATTAATTTCAAATGAAAATCGTAAAATTTGTTTTTAAAGAAATTACAAAATGCACGGGAGAGTCAAAATAAGAACGACAGAAGAACAAAATGAAATCCCAAGGCAAGAGAAACAGAAAAAGGCAATAGAATTTAAAAAAATAATGAATCAAATATTCATTAAAAAATTCATTCAGAAAAACGTTCTTCACAAATTCAAGACGAAGAAGGTTTAAATCTCACCGGTAATTTATTACAGGAAATCCGGATATAATAACATTATGGAATTATAGAAGAGAAATATTTTTGTCGTTGAAAAACGACGAGGATTTGGAAAGTTATCAAAACTATTGGAAAAAGATTTACAATTGACAGAACAGTGCCTGAGAGTAAATCCAAAATCCTATGGTAGTTGGCATCTTAGAATAAGGATCT